GTTTTGTGATAGGCTATTAAAGAAAAGCCAAAAAAAAATAATGCAATTGAGATAGCAATGAATTCTTAACACTATCAGTCCACTTTACCCATGCTCATGTTTTGCCAAGGCTGAGCCTGCTTGCCAAAGTGCTGCTTTTACTTGGACACACATCAGACAAAGCTGGACATATCGGGAAACTGCTGCTATGAGCATGCAAAAATATAACAAACTGAAAAATAAAAAAGCCAACCCATGTTCATTTCAAGTTAAAGAGTGTGATTTAATGCCACCCTCCAAGCTAGAAGGCTGAGAAGGATGAAATCTAAGTGTAAAGTCCTGCTGTCTCAAGTGCCTCATTTATATGGGTGATGCATTGAGGCAATTGCTTTTTTTTAAATACTACATTCTTTAACACTAATTCAGAAGTGTGGAGAACCCACTGTGACATTGGATAAAAGGCAAGCGTGGGAGCCCTGGGGAGCAGGACTCACCGTGTCTGATCGCACTGGGAGATGCTTTGGGAGCCTCCCAAGGGCAAGGGCAGTCCCGCRTGCTCTGCATCCCAGCTGGGCACCCCGGGCATTTTGGCCCACAGAAAGCACACGTAAAAATAACTACACACAGAAAATCAACACTGAGAGATTTCTTCTTAGCTTTGATTTTTTTTGATTCCTTCCTGTTTCTGTGATGGATCAGTTTGGGATAGCTGAACTTCAGCCAAGGATGTAAAGCGGTGTCCACCAGGCACTTCTCCATCCRGCAAGGATGGAAGAGAAAGCCCGTGGAGCCCAGCAGGGAAGCACCGAGGGGATCCTTGCAGACAGCCGGGCACCCCCGAGGAACACCGACAGCAACTGCTTGCTAACACAGAAGCAGATGGCTCCATAACGGTGYGTGTTGACTGCGAGGATGCACAACACGCAACAACAGAAACGGCACACACAGGAGGCAAGGGAAGGAGAAGGCAGCCAAGACAAAAGCAGGAGAGCTGTTGTTCTGCCAGTCCTCACGACTGGGGGATATCCTTGACATCACATTGCAAATATCAGGCTTCAGTTCTTCGCTTTGATCTCCTGGGCAGTGGGGTGCAAAGGATCAATGAGCGGCCTAGAGGAAAGTGCTGAGCTGGATCTGCAGCGGAACGACCGCTTACAAGGGGCAAAGTGCTGAGCCCGGCATGCTCAGCAATTAGTGGTGGTGCAGGAACACGAGCACCACCTTAATTGGAGCTGCAGAAACTCCTCTGGTCTCTCTCCCTGCCAGTGACCCACTAGACTCCTCCTAACCTTGGCACACCCTTAATTTCTCCTGGCTGAGGATTCCTTAGCTTAATTATATGCTATATTAAAGAATAATACTTTTAAAATCATKTTTAAGTAAAATATGCTTTAGTTTTGCTGTATTTCTCTTTTTTCTTTTTTTCCTTTTGGATAGAAGCACGTGATTTATTGTTCAGTCATCCGGATGTCCCCACCAGGTCCTTTCCYCTCCTCCTCCCCAGCAGTCCATGCTCAGGGGCACCCCTCACCTCGCAAGCTCTGCCCGCTGCCCGTCAGCGCTGCCGCACATCYCTGCGCACCCGCCGCACTGGCGCCTCCCTCATCGCCCCGGGCCTCCCAGGGCCGAGCCTGATGTTTCCCACTGCACATTGAAACCTCCGTAGCACCCATCTTCAGCCTTGGGGATTGATGAAAGGTCTCAGACCTTTTATTTGGGCCAAAAGGTGTTGATGGTCTATGAGAAGTATCACAGGCTCTGCAAGACCCTTTAGTTTTCTGCCGTCTGCGATCCTGGAGCCAATTAATCCTAATTGCACATTCCATACTGCCCTTGCTGCGTTATAAACCAGTGTCATTACTGCAGGGCTCCACGCATACCCAGATCACTGACACCAGCAGTGGTGAAAGCAGTTGCTTACCTTTGAAGAAGAAAGCCTCTCCTCTGATCTGGGCCACGGCATCGAAGTGAGTATTGCATCTGTTGGGCACATCCCTGCGGAGCCTGCGGAGAGACGAGCCGGGTGAGAAGGGGCCAGCACCTGGGCCACATGAGACCACTGCTGACAAGAGCCGAGGGACACAGGACACACACTTACTAGCTGAGGTAGCACAGGGCAGTGCTGCCTTCCAGCTCCCCAGTGGCACAGGACACCAGGGACTGGCCAGGTGCCCTGAAGCATCAGGATGCAGGATGAATAAAAAAGCAAGAGGCAGCAGGCTCCAGAGGCTGGGAACATGGCTAATCCCAGAAAAGCCAGCTAGGGATGACAAAGCTGGAGAGTGAGGCAGCAAAGAGCCTTGGAGGTGAGATGATGCCGCATGATATATGGTAGAAGCCACCTGGCAAGTCACTGGCTGAGATACTGAGCTGCTTTTAACGAGATGGGTGGGAAAAGCACAGAGTATGAAGGACCTAAAGAGCTATGAAACCCACGTGAAAAATGATGATTGATAGAGAACAAGGAGAGGCTGATGGAAATCTACACAAAAAAAGCTGCTCCGGATGACAGGCAAGCATAAGTCTAATTTGGTGATAGAAGATTTATGTTCGGTTGGCAGGATCAGCTTCAGAATCCTCTTTAGGAGCAAAGTGACAGACGTGCAGATGAACTCGCTGCATCCTTCCAGTTACACACAGGGCAGGAAGAAGGGGTTGGGGGTGAATGAGTTTCCTGCTCCCCTATTTCCATTGTGGGATGACAACCTGTTACCACAGCAGCAAAAATACATATTATATATATATATATATATATATATATTTTCTCTCTCTTTCCCCTAGATGCCTTCACAACATGCACTGAGATGATGGTCATACAGAGCTACGGCACAAGCTCCTTTAGAAGCTACACAGCAAGAGAGATTGGAGGGCATAATGAATTCACATGGCTACTTCAGCTGGACACATGCTGCTGCGGGAGATACAGAGCCTCCAGGTTAAGGGATGTTTCGCTGGCCTAGGAGAGCCCRTCTCGGCTGGCAGCAGTACCTCGGCCAGCCCTAGGTGGCATCACGACCACACGGATCAGCACAGAGCAAGAACCAGCTCTTAATGCTGCAGCGAGCTGGTGTTTGGGACACGGTCTCTGCATTAGTCAGTACTAGTGGTGTGGGTGCATCACCAAGCTGGGCAAAGTGGGGAGAAGATGGTGCTGTGATGGGAGGCAGTGACCACAGCACAGTGTTCTTTTCCAAGACTAGATTCTGCTTTGGCCCCACTGCTGTAGCACTAATCCAGATTTCATGATGTTGTTCACCCCTCTTTGCAGAGGGAGAACTGAGGCTCAGAGAGGTCAAGCCCAGCAGATGGGCAAAGAGGAAACAAAACCAGGAAACAAAACCCTGGGTGACCTGCTCCATCTCTGATGCTCACTGGGACACCCTTGGGATCAGAAAAAAAATGCGCTCAACCATTAACTTCCACCTACTTACTCAGTGTCAAAAGGACACTTGCCCTCCCAGCCCTTCTGCTGTCCTAGAAACAAAACAAATTGGTAACTCCTACATTTATTAATGATCTAGATCCACAGCTTTCCTAAATGAGGGTGCTCTGCTTGCTTGACAATGCACTCAGTATGAGCAGTTCTCTGCCAGCTCAAAGCTGTGCTGGAGGCAGCCTCTCAGTCCACTTGCTCCAATATTCACCCCTGCAGGTGCAGGAGGGAGTTGCTCACGGTAGAAAGATTTAGGGAAGCTATGCATGCACAAATCAGGACACTGCAGAAGAAATTTGATTAAAGTTTCAGTAAGAATGAGTTCACCTAAGGGCGATGGGGACAAATTTCTATTAACACAGGTGAAATTTGGAGTCTTAGGGAAACTCAAGCATTCCACAGTGACACAGAATTTCTCAATATGTCTTGAATGATAAAAAACATCTAACAGAAGAAGAGCATCTGTCACACACTGCTGCTATTACCCACTTCAATTTGGGGCCAGCAGGCCAGTCTCCACTTATACTGAGATGTTCAGGAGACAGAACAAGGAAGAACGGGTTCTTGGTGTGTGTGTATATTTATAGGCAGACAAGAGGTCTAGAGGGAAGTACCAAAGCTGGAATGGGCAGACAAGATCCCAGTCCTTAAGTGGTCTTTTACTTCTACATGGCCTTTGCAAAAATACAAACAGCAAAACAAAAATGAGCTTGACTTACGGGATAGTGGAGCGGTTTTCTGGCAATTCTGGCAGCATAGGATGGTCATCTGCTTTGCTTACAGGCTTGGCTGTGGGGGACACAGATTCCCTGACTCCTGTGTGCAAAGACAAAGAAGCAGTAGAAGGGAGCACCATCCTCCCCACATTCCCCACTCCCCCCAGAGAAGAGCTGTTCCAGTGTATCCTGTGGCAGAAATGGGCCACAGGTGGGCAAGGGACACAAACTTACCATAGAGTTGCCAGATTCGGACTTTATCCTCGTAAGGTAGGTCGTACTTCAAAGGATCCCCCACCGGACCTTGATAATAGGGTCTCATGATAGACTCTATGGCAGAGATGTGCGTCAAGCCAATGGCGTGTCCAAATTCATGGACAGCTACAGCAAACAGGTCCATCCCATGYGCATCTGGAAATAAAAACATCATAAAAACATAAGTCACTACCTGTTGACTGCATTTTGTGGGACTGGACAGCATGCACTGAGCCCACATGCAATTGTTGGTTCTGATCAATTTTAAGTATGTTTGTAGCAAAGTTCATGAAAGGCTGACATCTCCAGAGAGTCCAGGGAAGCCCCTGCTTTCTGGTCATGTCAGGGGCTTGAGGAGAGCTCCAAAGAAGCATCCATGGGCTGATACCACCTAGTGCTTTGCACTCTCCATTGGGCCTATGGAGGAATTTTTTGCAGAATTCTCCTTCCTTGATGAGGATTATTCAACAGTCTTTTTTTTTTTTTTTTTTTTTTTTTTTTTTTTTTTCTCTATAACCTGTACTGTTTTACCCAGCACCAGGACAGAACAAGACTTATGCTTTCTGACATTTTAAAGCCAAAATGCCAGCCTCGGAGATATTTTTATATCACCTACCAAGTTGTTATTTTTGAATCACCAGGAGGAGAAGAAAATGAATAAAAGATGAAGCTTAGATAGCTCCAGACCTTAGCAATGGAGGGAAGTTTTCCTGTCATCAACCTCATGTCCCTGTCTCTTGGYCATGTTAGGAGGGAATCCCTCTTCGGGGCTGTCAGTCTACAGACCTCTCCTCACACCCATGCTCACAAGGGAAACACGTAGAAGCTCCTTCCACCATGCTTGAACAAACAACAAACAGGACCTTCAAGTTCAAAGAGGGCAACTCTCTTGGCTTAATCTCTAGCAAGACATCTGCCAAGAGAAGCTACTGAACTTCAGCGCTCACCTCCACTTTGCTCATCYGTAAAACAGACGGAAACGAAGCTTAGCATGAGGATTCAAAGTCCCTTTACCTGATGATCGAAAGGTCCAATATTCATCATCATCAAAATGAGTGTCTCCTGCTGTGTGGTGGTCTCCAGGAAAGAAAGCATGAGCGACTGTGCCGCCAGGCCCATCGAAGGGATAGCCGTCATTGTGATCTGCCTTGGAGAAGTCGATCTGGATGTCTGCATTGTTACCAGCCACTTCGTGGAAGTTCAATGGGGTAATGTCGCTCCAGACCTTCAAGGCGTAGTACATCAGGGCACGGACTGTGTCGTGACCAAGCTGGGATTCTTTTGGGAAGGTGCGGACCCTGAGACCGAGACAAGAAAACAAAWCTCTATCTATAAAATGATAAGGGAGGACAGAGAAGGAGCCTCTTTTTCATTCTGCTAATTGTTTTATGACAAGGATCTCTCAATGAGCTCCTCCACGTCTCAAGTCTTCCCTGCTGACCAGAATAACGGGCTCTGCAGATGTCTGGCTCAGCTGCGAAACACAGTACCTGCAAGGAGGTGCCTCAACGCACTTGATATATGTGCATCTGTGAGACTCCATAACATATTTCAGAGCTACTAGCAACGTTTCCACAGACTAACTCTGTCACTTATCCCCAGAACAACTGCCTTGTCCAACCCTAGATATCACAAAGCCACGACGCCTAGAAGGCCATGCCCAAACATTTTATTTGGCAAGTTCCCTTTCAGATCTATTGTTAATTATGTTCTCACCTTTTATTTGTTCCAAGTGCAACCCAAATATAAAGATTATTTACTTCTGAAGACTTCACACCRCACATAGGCCCATAAGTTTTCCTGCAACAACCAGTAGGTCTTTGCTTATTCTTGCTACATGGGCATGTAAATCCATGACACGTTTGCTGCTTCCATATATTCCCCAGCATGTCTGCTGGAGACATAAAACAAACTGTGAAACCTGCACGCTGCCAGCAATCTTGGGGACTGCAATATATAACAAGGAGGAAGAGGAAAGGATGCGTTTTATGTAAAACTTGTTCAAAGTCCTCCAACCAATAACTTGTGGAAGACAGAGTATCTGATGGAGCACTGTAGTAAAGCTCTCATCCTGCTCCTTGGTAGGAAAAGTACTGACTAGCTAGGGCTTACTGCACCATTGAACACAGGAAGAGGACAAAAGGTTTTCTCTGCATTGGGATAACACTATCTTGTCCTGGAAGATGAGGATAAGGATGAGCCAGGGTTTGCCGTGCAGCAGCATAATTCAAACCTCCCTTTTGCTCTGAGCTGGCATGAAAAAAGTCAATGTTTCCTGTGTAACCAAACCTCAAGAAAGAGCCCCTAATACTATTGATTTAATATAAAAGGTGAAAAGATGCAATAAGGCATCCTGACTTCGGAAAGAGTATGTTTAGATAATCTTTCATTGACCATTTTGACAAAAAATAAATACATTCCAGGAAAATGTCCTGTTGACTGAGTAATTATTGACAGAAAACAATTCTACCGGAAAATTTCTGGCCTGTTCTACCCTAGCAATAATGTACACTTTATTTCTTGTGTACCAGTGCACCAGCCAAAGCATTCAAGAAACATTCATGGCTTGACAGATTTTTAAAGGCCGAAGCAACAATTATGAGCACCTCCCTTGCCCTCCTCGACGATATAGCTTGGAGAACATTGCTCAGTGTTACACCATCCCCCAGCACCAGTGCAAAGCTATGACTAAATCTCCAGAGGCAATTACAGGTGTCAGGAAGGGATGCCACGTCCCTCAAGCTTTTCCTACTAGTAAAAAATTGTATGCAATTGGGAGACTTTACAGATCAGCAAAGAGGATATGAGTGACTTGCTGCCACTCTTGCTTTCATGAATACTTGCTTTGTATCCCATTCCCTCATGGACACACAGCCCAAAGTGTGCTGCTCCTGACTTGGGCAAAGTCATTGAGGTTTAAATTCAGGACACAAAAAATACTGGACTCATGAGAAAAACAAAGCAGAAAGAAAGCTCCCCAGCAGCCTCTCTGAAGACTTTGGAGAGTCTGTCCTGGAGGTGTAAATGATCTGGGAAGACCAAGCAAAAGATATCACAGCCACAACAGCAAAAATTCACCTTATCTGCACCTTTGTTATAGCTAAACTAGTCTAGAGAGAGACCTTGACTGCTAACATACATTTAAGGAGTAGTAGTGCCTGGTGGTACAAACAATACGAGCATGAGATTAGAAAAGACAACTTGCAGGCAGGGATTAATTTATAGAAGATGCTGGCTTCTAGATATTCCTTAACTAAGTGAAGTACCTTTTCATTTTCTAGGATATCCCCCCAAATTTAGGTAAACTCTCGGTGGCTTTAATATCAACTAAATAATTATATATGTAAAGCACACTCATGCTTATTTCAGGAGGTAAGACCTCTTCTCCAAGGTCTGAATGCCCAGGGCATGGGGCTCAGACTCAGGAATATTATCTGTTCTTCCTACCTCAAGCTCTGCTCTACTGCATGAGCCATTTTCTTTTCCTTTGACCTGACTTTTCACAGCTGTAAAAATGAGAATAATAAATCTGATCTCACTTGTAAAAGGCTGGTGGATGAAAATCTGTGTTTGAAGAGACAAATATTATTAATATTCATTCTAATCCCTAACACTAGACACATTAAATTAAGGCAGAAACAATATCAATACTTATTTTGGTTCTTATTAAAGGTCCGGCACCTCTGAGCTGACCCACACTWTATTAGCAAGCATAAGTGAAAAATCCCTGATCCTTTATTCATTACCACCATTATTTTTCAACAGATTCCCATCAGGATTTCCAATTCAGAATCTGATTAGACTGCAGGAGCTCTTCTAATTGATTTCAATGAGATTAAAGAGAAGACTATTATATCAACAGGACATTCAGCAACATCGCTTTCTCAAGTCCCATCAAAAACCAGCATATTTCTAACATAATGCAAATGCTAAAGAGGCTTCATCCCACCTTGACTATTACTATTATTCATAGTATAACAGTGCTTAGGTAGCCAGTGGAGATCAGCACCCATTGTTCCTGGACTTCAGTCCCTTAAGGGACACCCCTTAAGGAGATCCAGTCTCTGGTAAAAGCCTGAGCTGAGCAATGGCARGGAAACCTGCCCCTTCCAGAAACTCCTACAAGAGATGCTGTGGACTGAGATGTTAAAGAAAATAAAATCCCAGCTAAGCAGGGTGGAAATTGGACAGAAGAAAACAGATCTAACATGATGCAGTCATGGACACACCAAGGCAAACATCTGCCCTACACAGCCTTGAGCACTCTGCCTAGCAGAGGTGCTTATCSCAGGGCAGGTCATGGTCTGCTCCCTGTCCCCTGGGCTCTGCTCCAGTGACACAATCCATGTGGCTCCTCCATCCCAGCCAGCTCCTTTCCTTGCTGTGAGAGGCACCTGTGCCCACAGCTCCAGCAATGATGGGCTGGCCATGGTCTACCGGCAAGGTGATGGCACCTCAGCGATCCARCAGCCTGATCACGAGCTCCACCGGGCTCTGAGCAGCGTAGATGGAGCCCAAAGAGTATCTTGCAGATGGATAAAAMGTAGCTTTAAAGTGGTTCCTGCAAGTACTGTCAGGGCCTTAGCTAGTCCCCATCCCCAAATARTTTTGGGCCAAACTCAGTTAATAAGTAGAACACGATGAGGACAGAGGTTTCTGCCTGCCGTGGACCAGCAGCAGTGGCACTGGGCACTTGAGATCCTGGGTCCCTTTCCCGGTTTCCCCCACAATGACAAAGGAGAAGGTACATTGGTGATGTGTGGAAATCAATTCCTGCTTAATGAAAGCACTCCATCATGCAGTGCAACCCTGAAACTAGAGAGAAAGAAAATAAATGCCAATAACTACCCAACACAACAGACCACAGATTGTCTGATAAGCACAGATCAGTTTTTATAAAGGGGACAAGGCAGAACAACACAGTGTAGACACTGTCCGAAGCACCCAYAGTCACCAGGAGGAGAGAGATTGGCCCTTCACTCTTTCTGTGCAACAATTCTTATTCTACATTTTAATACTCACTCATCATAAGGAAGCACCTATAGCACAGCCGTACACGCCAGCATGGGAGATGATAAATTCCAGGAAGAACATGAGGGCAAAATCAAATTTTGTAGCTGGTTCCTTGGGCTGGGACAGGAGCAGTTGTGCTAGATGAGGCCGAGCAAACCAGCTTTGTGTCTAGTTCCTCATCCAGGGACTGGAGGGTTGCACATACCTGCGATGGGCTCCACACTGCTGCAGGTGGCACGTCCCAGCAGCCAGGAACCTCCACAGYCTTATACACTTGCATTAGAAATGAGAGCTCAGGATGTTCTTGCCACACATCATCATTTATGGGAACCTGCCCAGCAGTGTCCTCTGCTCCCACTGTTGCCCCCTCGCCGCAGTGGATCCACATCTCAGCTCAGCTAGTGACATAAACCCACTGTGTGCAACTGGGCATCACTCATGGAGATTGCAGGGCTGCCACCACGAGGCTTTGCTCTGGCTCCAACACCCCATGTCCTTAAGTTTCACAGCTTGCAAGACTGCAGCATGGAAGAAGTGGCACATGGGACTKGTCCTTAATGAAACATTAATACAAGTAGGCTGCAAAACTGGAACAGAATCCCTTGCAGGGAGCCTGCGGGGCTGCAGCTCTGGCAGAGGGCATCTTTCCTTTTTATATGCACAGCTCAATCCAATTCTGGGTTGTGTTTGCTCTTTTTAAAATCTCCAATCAATGAATAAGAGGTAGGCATGTAAAAGTTTATGCCTCTATTGACAGATTTTCATGACAGTTTCCAAAAAAGCTATTCTAATCTCAAGTGCTGGATGTAAATACCATACTGGAGCCTCCTGTTGGCTTAAATAGCTTCCAGTTATAAAATATGGCCCCTTCCTGAACAACAGCCACGATCTTGGAAAGAAAGAAAGAATAAAAAGCAGCCGTGAGTTTGTCAGGAGATGGAATTTTTATATCATGCATATAAAACTGTCGTGGACCTAAAACCCTTTTTTATGGCAACCTTTGCAGCAGTACCACTCAGCCACAGAGGGAACGTGAARCAGGTTTGTATCCCGGGACCAAAGCTACCACCACACACTGGCCTTATTTTCCTTCTTATGTTGCACTCGAGCCTGGAACAACTGACACGTATCAGCATGGCTCRAGTCCTCATGTGAATGTGACCACACTCCAGCCTAGCCACGAGACCAGCTCTATTGTGAATTATCCAGGCCAGAGTTGGGCAGCTACCCTGCAAATCGATARTGCTGTAACTGCAATCCAGAGCCCAGCGTGGCCAGGACCACGTGCTCCGGTCCCAGCTGGGGCCTCTCTCCACGTGCTCTTGCAATTGCTCTCAGCTTTCTGCAGCAGCTCTTAGAAGAGCCATCACTGTGGCCCACRGCCTTTGTAGGCAGAAAAACGAGCCTTGGAAAGCACGATTGTGGTGGGGCAGCAGATCGAGCGGACACTTGTTTCCTAATGCTCTTCCACGGAAGGCTGTAGGCTTGGGGAGCCACCTCCAAGCTCCTATTTTTTCCATATTCACAGTGTCCCATGCTCGTCACCCAAGGACTTGAGCAGTGAGGGCCTGATTCCTACCTCCAGGACAAGTTCCTCTTGTTCCACTTGGTCRCAGCCTGGGTGTGCCGCTTTTCCCTGCTCTCCGAGGCGGCGACATCGGGGAGCGAGCAGCGAGGGGTCTTCATCAATTCCAGCGTGGCTTCATCTAGGGGAGAGGGAAAAACAAACCATGGAAACAACGTGCTGGAAATCATTATTTGCTTCATGCAGGATGGGGAAGCATGTGTTAAGAAAACCCCTGGACAGACAGCAAGGCAGTGCACATGTCTGTCAGGTGGTGGCAATGCTGCTGCAGCATGGTGCTCACGCACCTCTTTCCAGCACCGTTTCCCTATCTTTTGTTAAGCACTTAATTTCCAAGCTTAAACTCAAGCCCCCGATCTAGCCAGTGCCTCATGGAAGTTCCGCTTTAAACATCGCTTCCAAAGCAGAAGCTGCAGGTAGTGCTGGAAGGGCAAGTCAGTGCCTGTGCCGGGGCCTCCTAGAGCTTGCAGAAAAGTGGAAGGAAAACTATAATTGTAGCTGCTTAACGAAGGACAGAGCGAGAAGGGCTGGACCATGGCAGCCCGGCCCTGGCCCCAGTGTTGCCAGGGAGCCGCCACAGTTGCTCTGTTAATTAGCAGCTTCTCTTTAATTCTCCTGTAAATAGCAGCGTGGGGAGCAGACCGAGGGCGCCGTGGGGGCTGCCGGCGGCCACGGGCCTCGCAGCACAAAGGGGCCCATTGCTAGTCTGCGCCGAGGGGAAGGGAGCCAAGGCCCCTGGGAGGCGGCATGGATAAAGGCCGCTTTCTCCCTCCCTCGTCACTCCTTTCAATGAGAATAYTGAGGAAAACCAGGGCCAAGCAAGGGGATTTGCATCACTCCGGCCTAGCGTTGAGTCATCTGGTCCATGTTTGTGGGCACTTTGGGACAGTGAGATGTGGTCATCAGCTCRGAGAAGAGTCACCCGCCACTGAGCTCCCGCCAGCCGGTAGGGCTGCCAAAGGCAAAGGGCACTGGGCCGACCTGGGGCTACCAGGGCTAGGCAGAGCCCATGGGGGCTCTCACTGCAGCCACCAGCCAYGGTGGTCCCAGGAAGGGCCTGGGAACACGGAGGGAACCCATGATGGGGGCTCATTGGGCATGAGGAGCCATGGTCGCGGTGTTGCTGCAGCAATCCTGCTCTCTCCCCTACTTCTCTTCCTCATGAGGGATACGGAAAGATCTACCTACACAGACATGGAGGGTTAAGCCAGGATTTTTGTTTCCCTCAGTTTGATGCTGCAATTAAGGCTTTGAACAAAGTGATATATCAGCCTTAGTTCTTTTTCCTGACTTTTTTTTTTCCTTTTATTTTCTGAACCCATCAAGAGCTATTTTAAGCATGATAGAAACCTTGAGGGTTTGCAGGCCTGGTGAAATAATTGCTTGCCTCAGGTTGCTGGAAGCACAAGGCAACAAAGCACCTGAGCCATGTAATTACTCTTGTAAGCGCAAATGGAGCTGCACATTACACACGTGTCAGACCTTCCCGTGAACGCCGCCACCACACAGCACATCACTCCAGGGCACGTGGTCCTCTCTCCTCCCCAAAAAGTACTCGGAGCCCTCTCAGCCCCCGGCTGTCCCCATGCACCGAGATAAAAGGGCTCATTTTGAACTGACCTAGGATGCCTGTTGCTTCAAGGCCTCCAAACTGCTGCATGGCAGTGATGGCTTTTGTGAGCTCCTCCTGCGTCTGCAGTTGTCCTGTGACAGGATCCGGAGGAGGCAGATAACCAAATTTTGTCAGCCAGTCCTGTGAAACACGTAGAAGGGCGATGAGAAAAGGAAATAAATATATAGAGATTAAGAGAAAGAGGCAGTGAAGGTCCTGTCCGTTCCGCATGGAAATACCTTTTCCATTTACATGTTTATACCCGACTTCCCTATTGAACTGTGTGGTCTCTGTTAACAAATGAATGTGTCACAACGGATCTGTATACATTACTTAAGTAATGGGATCCGATGACCTTCATGCATTCCAATGTTGACATTTAATTTTCCCATCCGGCTGCAAACTATCTTTGATAATAGCAACAGCAGAGTCCTAACCCGGGGGTTTATACAGTCATCTTTTATTCCTCTCTTGGATGCTGGCAGTTCTTAGTGGAAACTTGTTGCAAGGCTGAGCACAAGAGTGCAACAAAATGCCCATAAGGGAGAACCAGAGCCAGGCAAATCCCACCTCACTTGAGGTTTCATTTCAAAGTTGAAATTTAAGGTTATTTTGAGGAAGGGTCTCTGGGTTCAACAGAGGAACCAATGATTTAGGTGGTTCACCTCTCTCCCAGAGCACCTTTAGGGATCTTCTTTAGTGGGCAGATTAATGCTTGCTGTGCTAATCTCTTTGCTGTGAGATTAATCATCTCTGTGACTTTCAGGTCCTTTCCTCCTTTTGCTTTCTGGCCCCAGGAGCTCAAGGCATAGARGGACCTGGAACTCCTTCTCACTGTGGAGTTAGTTTGTGGAACGGCTGAGATTTGAAGGTAAATTAATGAAGGAAACAGACTTGACATGGATATTAAGGGCAAAGATTCCCTTCACCTAACAGAGGCAACATGGGCTGGATCCGAACAGCCATGACATGCTAAAAATCCCCCAAATTCATCCTAATAGCTGGGGTTGGACTCTTTCACCCCACATTTCATTGCAGAATTTTGATCTGACATGAAGTYCAATCATAAAGTTCTTAAAATTGCAGAAAGCAAGCTGGGCACAAAGATTCACACACACTCACAAAGACACCAAACCRAACCAGCGCTGGTGGGAGAAAGTTCACAATCCTCCTTAACCACAGGCAGGAGCCAAATTCCTGCAGAAGTCCAGCAGCATGCTCCCATTCTCAGGCTGCTSAAGAAGGAGCCAGAAGCAATCTGGTTGCCAGCTAGACCTGGCCCATCCAAGGCCCAGAAGAGACCTTGGGCTTGGTCTCAGTGGTCTYAATGCTTACACACAACTGAGCCCTACAGAGAAAATGCCATGGAGGTGTAAAAACAAGATGTTTCCTTGAGGGTCACCACACCACATGTGCTGCAGGCCCTTCGCTTTGTCTCTTCCCCCGAGTTTGCAGGCAATGTGCACCCTTCAGATGTGAAGATATCGGCTTCTAGGAGCTGAAGGGCCATCAACAGGAGCTCTGCTCCATGCCGTGTCCATGCCATGCTGCTCCCCTCCAACTGCATCAGCAAGATCTGGGGGCAGGGAGCTCTTACGCAGCAGCGTCCACAGCCGCACAAAGAAAAACTGTTCGACAGCTTTAGGCTAAAGTTTGACCTACATTAAAAAGTCATTCTTGATGATTGATAAGCCTTGTTACAGAATAAAGGCATAAATGAAATCTTTAAAAAAAGCACTGTAGAAATATCCCACAGATAATGGAAACGGGGGTTCTCAAATTTAGATTATTTGTTCAATCGGATAAATGGGACACAGTCATGCTCACCCAAGCAGCACCAGGAATGCCAGGATTTGTTTAATGGAGGAAGCTGAAATTTGAATCACTCGCAACCCCCAACAGGACTGGCTGATTTATTTAAGAGGATAAATGGCTTTTCTCTCTGTGCTGTCCTCTCTAGCATTTCAGCATGCTTTTAACCACCTCTCTGCCAGCTGTATTTAGAGCCACACACCTGTATTTCTTCAATCAAAAGCAAATGGGGCCTGCAAAACACCTACTGCTCCATCCTTGTCAAAACCCAAGCAYGGTCTACATGGTGAGCAGAGCACAGCCATGCACACATGATTGCACAGCCACCAGCACCTCATCAGAACCAAGACTGTCATTTGGTAGCAATTTGTCTTTCARTGGGCAATGTGCTTTCGTAGAGAACTTCTCTTGCTCTTGATAATCTAGAATTGTAACTCTCTCCTTACTTTTCCTATCTTCTGTCTCAAAAGAACAAATGTAAGAAAGGGCTTAGAAAGACAATTCACAGAACAGTTAAAAAGCTGTTGTAAGAAGAAGTAAGGAACACCAAAGAATAATAGCGCATGTAAAGAATACCGTAAATACTTTCCTTCTATTTTCTTTATCATATCAAAGAAACATTGATCTGTTGAGCTTCTTCAAAGCTGGTATTGATCTAGACTTTCACCTCAGTCAATACATCACAAATGGATTTAGCTGGATTAACGCCAAAACTCGCTACYGACTTATCACTAAAATTTGAATGTCTCTCATCTCGCTATCAGTCACGGCAGCCAATCTGAATGCCACAGCATCCTCAGCCTCACTCTGGCAAGTCCAGTTAAATGATTTCACACTTACAAAGCTTTATTACAGGTCTTCCTAAGCTTGCTACAGCAGCAGTAGTAAGAGCTTTCCATTGGGGAACACAGTCTCCTGCACTGGCAATTTATTTCTTCCCTTGCTCTACCCCATAGTTGGCTGATGATGCATTACTACAGCCAGAGAAAGTTGCTTATGTTGCCATTTCTTGGTCAACGCAATGGCACAGCTCCACGAGTGACCATCTCGCCAGGAACACGTTAGCAGCTTCACAGCACTCCTCTCGTCTCTGCTCGCTGTTAGCCTGAAGGCCAGGCCAAATGCTCTCCATCTCCTCTCACTGCTGTTATTTGTCCATTTGCACAGCAAAAACATTTGTGACAGAAATTAGACATTTTGCTACATACAATTTGCTCCCAATTGTTCATGAGATATCGACTATGACATGGAGTTCTACAGTCAGCCCATCAATTGCAAAGAATAGTAGGGTTTAATTTGGTTTCTCCTCCAGCCACGGAGATGGTGTCATTTGTCCTTTAATGATAGTGGAGCTTTTTATACACTGGAGATTTAAATAATTCCACTGAGCTCAGAACTGTCTAAAGAATTAAGTAGAAATGAAAAATTAAGGAAAGTGAACACACCATTGAGGACTAGGAGAGGCAAAGGTAGAGAGCAGGGACAAGGTCCAGCCAAGAGCCCTGCTGACCTAGCTGCAGCAAGGGAAGAGCTGCYCTCTGCCTTCATCCAAATGGAGGGTTTGGATCATTCCTTATTCAGGTTCTCCATAATATTCATAATGTTATAGGCTTCTGTTATAACATTCTCATTCACCTCTTTCCCATTGTAAGATTTCTGGGCAGTTTATTCTCTTCTCTTAATCTAGCTGACTCATAATATTGACATTTTACATTATACCTCCTCTGTGGCAGAAAACGTGATTAGGGAAAATGTAGCTGGATTTGGAGATGAGAAAGATCAGCTGGAATTATCTGGCTAATTATCTGTGTGTTCTTTGAAAGTTTTTCTGCTATTTTCTTGTTCATAATTAGGACAAAAGCTAAACTCAAACTTTCATAAATAAAAAAATTTGAAAACATTCTCAGCAAGATCATTACAAAGTGTTCCACTTTTTTTTTTTTTTAAATAAAAGCTTTTTTTTCAGTTATCACCAGTTTAAATAGTTTCATCAGATTTGAGCTGAAATATTACAATTCCATAAACATATTTCTTGCCCAAATCATTGAGTTAACACGATAAAAAGATTTTGCTTGGAAATACGCTGAATTAAACAAATTGACTTAATCCTATGGGAAGATTAAGCTTCTCCAAATCCCCATTTTCAAAAGAAAAATATTGCTTCACCAAGAATTTTAGACTGAAACAATATCTGCCTTTGCTTCCATCTCCAAGATGACCCGGGAACAGATGCAGCTACTCGTCACACMTCACCTCTGAGCTGGGGGTATGTAGTTTGGTCTGGGGCTCATGCTGGGGTCTGCTGAGAGCCACCTAGTTGTGCTTCCAATCCCAGTTTGTCCTCCAGCCTCAATTCCTCATCTGTGGAGAACCCATGCAGCAGGATCTCCTGGTCTCCCACCTCTTTGGTCTTGTCTGGTCACACTGTAAACTCTTCAGGTCCCACTGCGTTTCACCCGAGTCCTTGGACTGCCCTGCAATACTGCCAACAACTTCCACCTCCAGAAGAGGACCTGTGCAACAGGTTTTTCCTTTTTCTCCAAGAATTTGCCAAGACAAAGATGGGTGGAAGGAGGAGACACTGAGTCCTAGCGCACAACGGATCTTCTGATCCAGCTGCCCCACCAAACAGCTCAGAACTAGCGATTTATCATTGTGCTCACGCTCTGAAAAAAAGAAAGAAAGGAAAAACCTCTGGCATGGCAAAAATGTCCAAAGATATCCATTCATCCGAACCTCTCCTTACACTGCAGTGGGTAAACACAGCTGCCAGCAAGATCCTTTGTGCTGCTCAGCAGCAAGCAGGCGACACGCACAGCCATTTCCCTTAAAAACCGAGCAGAGAGGGGTATCGATAGCACCCACGCCGGGCTGAGCACCCAYGCTGTGACCAGTGGTGGGTTGGTCAGGCTCTCCTCCCACAGCAGCAGCTTAGGTTTTCCATGGGGTGAGTCAAAAAGTGGCAGGTCAACAAGTAAAACCAACAATCTGGGAGATGAACGAAGACACAATGCCCCGATGGCAGCATTTGTGCCATCTGGGAGCAAACATCACGACTGAGCACTTTGGGTGTCCCGAGCCCCCCAGGCACTGCATGAGCACCCGCTGGGGATGACACAACGGTGCCAGGGGGTTAGGACACATGACGCAAGAAATGAAGGCTTRTGTTGTTACAAAAAAAAAGCTTTTTCCTTCCCTTTGCCCCATTTTTCCTTTACTGTCCCACTGCAGGTGGTACCCAATAAAAGATGCTTTAAAGCCACTGCTTTAAAGCAGAGTTTTCCTTTGAAAAGTGACTGTGCTAACTCTGATCCAACAGCATCATCCCTCCACGGAGCTGCTCTGGGAGCATGTTTGCAGACTGACAGCTCTCTCTGTTGACTAAAAATAAGCTATACGATTTTTTTCTCATTTGGGTTTCCATATTGCTGCGGCAGAGAGTTATGGGCAAAAAGCCCGCTTAATGCCCCGCAAAAATAGTTAACAGAATCTGCAACAGCAGAATTTTGTAGGTAATTTGCTTTGGATCAGACATGGAGTTAGGAAGAATGCTAACAAAGTTCCTCCTCTCTGCTACGAGCAAATCCTGCTCCAATTTCTGACTTCTTTTTACATCTCAGTCTATTTGAATTGAATGCCAGGGCCAGACACACAATGGACACACAGACACCATGGGGGCAGCCGGGGACTGGGGCCCTATGGGGTCAAGTGACATCCAGACCCCGAGCAAAACACTGGTTCCAGCAACAACGACACTTCCAGCTATCACTTATGCAGAGCCAATTTTCAGATTAAAATGGCAATTTCRTTTCTTTTATATATCCACTTCCTTTGTATCAATGCCCTTTTGTCCTAGCACCTAGCTACCTGCCTCATTTTAAAATAGATGTAGATATTGTCCCTCTTTAATGGAAGATTTATGAGCTCTGTAGCTTTGCTTTTACAAATATTAATATTATATAAGCTGATGGACTCATTCAATAGCCACAGGCAAAAAAAGACTCAGTCAGCAAGTCTTCTTCTTGCTGATTTCTTTATAAGGGATGCAGGTTCCCATTTACAAGTATACAAAGTAGTTCAGCCTAACAAGGAGAGCATAAACAGCACAACAGAAATCRGGAAAATCAGAAAAATTCCACCTGAGCCTGTTCCATGCTTCTGCTGCTTTTTGCAATAACCTAATTTCTGAAGCTTAGGCAATTAAAATAAAGAACAATATTTCCCTTGAGTGTTGCACAAACACACAGGAAAAATTCACAGGGAGCAAAGCCAGCAGTGCAGGACTGCAGCTGGTTCCTGCCATGGGTTTCCTGCAGCAGCCTAGCTCAGCTTCACCCAGCTGAGCCTCCCTCTATTCATCAAACTCCCAGGTGTTTATATTAATTTCAAAAGGTTATTGGGAGTTTAAAACTGTAAGCTGGATCAAATGGGGCTTCCAGATCTTGGGTAGATAGAGCCCTGAGTTACCTTCTGTGCAGTGTTGACCTGCTCTCCCTGGTGACACAAGAACCCAAAGCACCAACGTTGGGCACCTGCAGCAAAGACACAATCCCCAGGGAAATGTGCTTTGTTTTTGCAGGGTCACCTGGAAGAATGGGAAATTCAAAGCTTCTTTTCTTGCTGGAAGAACCTGTATTACCCTTACGAGAGTTGTGCTTTCACTTTATGGATGAGGCAATCCTGCTTGCTGGGAGAACACAAGGAAGAAGTGCCATTACTCCAAGCATCTCACACCGCAACACCGAAAGCAGCTGCACAGYAACACAAGCAGGATCCGCTCTGCACTAGCCTCCCTTCTATCACTTCCTTTAATTTGTTAAGTCCTCACCTTCCTAAAATTCCCAGCGCCGCAGTATTTTTACCTTGACATTGATCCTAGAAGCCCAGGAAACGCAAGAGCTTCTGATCCTCTGCAGACGCGAACGCCTCGGAAAGGGAGCTTACCCTGCGCGCTGGCTTTGCGGACACAGAGGCATTAAACTGAGGCTTAGCTGGAATCAATAGGACACCAAGAGCGACAGCACATCCAGCAGCGACAGGAGGTCCCGGAGTACCCAGCAGAGCCGCTCGGCCTCTGAAAACTGCAGCACTTCTCTTAGGTGCAGCATTTATGGCACTTGCATGAATACACAAAGTTCTAACATTAAAAATACCTTTTCTTACTTTGCTGCCTTCCAAGAAGCAGCAGCCACCACAGCAGCCTCCTTAACTCTGCCCTTCTCCACTGTCCTTGGTGCGAGCAGCTTGCACAGACCGCAGCGAGGTCTTCAGCAGCAGCATCTCCCCTCAAACACACGTGGGAAGAAAGTCCAAACACAGCATGCAACAAAATTAACAACCCAGATTAGTAAAATAAAGCTACAACTCAAACAGCCGGAACTAATTTCTAAATTAGGCTTCACTTTATCTCCACTGAAACCATTAAGTAGGGCGGAAGCTTTCGAAAAAAAGGCCAACACCACGCAAAGCTAGATTGAAGGGAAATTGCTTTTGGCCCTCTGAGCTTTTCTTCCAAGTTTCGGAAGGTTTACAGGTTTTACAGTGATTTTCAGGAGATGAAATGACCCTAGGAACAATGCCCATTMATTAGAGCAATACATATGGTGCTGCAGCCCTCCCAGGACCGTGTTCTTGCCACGCAACAGCAGCAGGCCGTGCAAAGGCAACGTCTTCCAAAGGTTGACATGCACCTCTTTAATGAGCTATCACACACACGTAATCAGCCGATTAATTCATTAGGAGAAAAACTGCAGCTTGGATTGCAACCAGGATTTTGGTTGCCTCCCCAGCTGAACTGCGGGAGCAGTTTCATTAGCTTACGCTGGAGCAGTTCACTTGAATCCAAACAGCTCTTTAATTCTTGCTAACACCGYGAACAGGATTCAGGGGAGAAGTTAATGCAACTGCTAATGATTTCTTCTCCCTCCCCCTGCTCTGAACGTTCGATTAGGTTAACAGCAGCAGCGATGCAAAAGGGCAGAACCTCCGGCTTCAAGAGGCAGCAGGTCCCTTGGCAAGGCCGGCGGTAGAGAAACCACGTCGCTCGAGAACACGGCTCCTGGCACATCCAGGTCAGGAAAGCAGCAGCAGCCGGAGCTCCCGCGTCCCTCACTTGTCAGCCAGTACCTGGGCACCCGCGGGCTTGTCAGCCGCGATCAGGTCTTGCCAGTAACCTGAAACACTTGTTTGCTCCCTTGTCCTGCTTGTGTTCCACTGTCCAGGTGACACACTCCAAACGCCAGATAGGCACAAAATAAGATTATCCTGACTGGGGGGAAACCTCAGTGATAGACGTCAACACAAGGTAAAATTGTCTCTTTGGTTAGATGGATACCAAGAACCTTTCCAAAGATGCAGGATTAATCAGGGAATGTTGTTGAAGCAGAAACCCTCTGTGGACCAACAGAACAGCATTTTCAACCTCTTTGAACTGAAGATCAAAGAATCAATTCCCATCCATAGGCAGGCAGAACAGTACAGCACAAAACAATGTTTACTGGGGCTTGCTTATGTTTCTCTCCTGAATAAGAAAAAACTGACAAAAATTTGAAAACAAAGTACAGTTGCTTTTGTATTTTCAGTGAATACAAAGTGTACTGAAAGTGTATTTTTTTCTGGGCGGAGATCTAATACACTGGGAGGTTTTCATCCCATCCCAAAACTTTCCATGTGAGGGCAATGAATGATRCAAAAATCCTGCTTTAATTCAAGCTTCATTTGACTATCACAAAGGAGTTTCAATGGGATTAGTATATGTATTTTTTAAATCAGCCTCAGTTTTGCATAATGCTGCATGTCATGGCGAAGCGTCCTTTGTCACTAATTAGGTATTTAAAAAAAGAAAAAGAAGAAAGTTCTGGCATGGAGAGGTCTATTGAACTGCAGTGGGATTTTAGGTAAACACCCAAAATAGCACTTTCTTCTTGCTAGAAAAACAGTTTGAAACCAGGTAAGCAGCTCCCGATTTAGGAAACATCCCAACACCTCTCATTGCAGATGCAGTGGGAGCGCAGCTCAGGCACCCGCCAGCCTCAGCAGCAGCCTGTCTCATGACAGATGCCACCAACCTGATGCTTTCTGCTCTTCTGCTTTCTCGCCTAAAGGAGGCTGTGGTTTTGCTCCTGTGGTAGAGGGTCCTGCTGGCACCAGCCGGGCAGAGCCCAAGAGCTGTGGTGTTTCTGCTACAGCCAGTACAGGGTAGGGGAGCAATGACCTGCCCAAGAGGCCATGCAAGGGGAAGATGCAGGTGAACTGGGAGGATGTAATTATCACCTAGACAGTAGCCGAGTCGTTCAATCATTGCAACAGCTAGTGCTAGATCTTGGACCTGCAAGCACCTGCCCCACCGGTCCCAAGACTGAGCCCTGGCATCATGGTTGCAGCAGAGCACAGTCRTTTTTATATTAGTTGATGGGACCACTTGAGCTCCACCAAGGAGACCAACCAGAGCATGCTGAACAACATACACCATGTAAGAAAACAGGGAGAGGAGACCCAGTCCCAGCAGCGGTTGCATGACGGGACATATCCCACTGCCCCCAGTCACTGGTCTGGCAGCAGCTGCAGGTGCTCAGCTGCCACTTGCTCATATAACACCCCGAGAAGATGCTTTCCTTGGATGTCCCCTGTCCAGCACACACGGGAGCTGGTACCAGCACTTGGAGCAGCCTGTCAGTGCAGCACATTCCCGGTGGTGCAGCTGCCAAGGCAGCACTTCCCAACATGCCTGTAAGCAGCAGGCACCAGTATCTCACTTCAACCCAGTGCATGAGGGCGAGCTCTCCTGCATTTGTAAATGGAGAGAAATTTCCTTCCACGTGCAATCGAGGGGAGAGCTTTCCCTGCTGAATTCAGTGGTGAGGTTGCCTCATTTTTCCTGCAGTCACATCATTTCTATACGAAGAAACATTAAGGCCAAGACTTGACAAATGCAGGGTCTTATAGGCACATCCGTGGTTTCCTGGTTCTTGGGATGATTTTGCACCAGASTCGGCGGAGTCTGCAGCAGCCTGGGGAGTGCTGTGATGGAGCCAGCTGGACGGCRCTCCTCGGGAAACATCTGCTAAAGCAGCACAGCAGGAATAGGGAGCGCTTCGATCCCTCCCATCCCGCGCTGCTCCTCCTCGGATAGCACCGCCTGCGGAGCTGGCGGGAGGGCAGATGCTCCCTGTCCCGTGGGAATCCCCTCCAGCAGGAACATCTTGTGCTGGGAGCCGCCGTCCCGGGTCCCTCCTGGCGCGGGGTACACGGGACAGCCCCGCTCCATGTGGCRGGTCTCGCTCCACGCTCCAGCAGAGCCGCTCTCTGCAGGGTCGGTTTGTCTCGTAAAACAGATGTTTGGACATTTAATTAAAATCCTTGAGCCTCCTGAGTATTCAGTGTGCTGTAGACATCACCAAAGACTTTATGGAGAACTTTCAAATACTTTCTGTCTTCCAGCTGGTTCGGGACCAAGAGCACAGAATGATAGAATATTTTTCAAGAAACACTGATTGCTCTTTACCAAACTGAGGATACACAGCAAGGCTCTCATACAGGRGAGCTTTTGAGGTCCTGTTTCTCTTAATGAATCTGCCCATCTCATGGGCCCTGAACAGCACGTTTGCTCACAGCACATAGGGAAAGTCAATGATGCATTGAGAAACCGGGGGTGTTAATCTATATTCTCTCCCTATCTCGCCGAGATGAGCTCCTAGTCTTTCCATTTCAGTCATTAAACAAACCACGTCTGGTAGCTAACTGAGCAGACCGGTACACATCAAAACAAATCTCTTGCTAAACTCCATTTATTGGATCTTCTATTAGGACAGTGTTTCCTCCAGGAYGGAGTCCAGGCTTGACTCCCTTCCCGCAGCAAAGCCAGTCATGGGAGAGTTCCCTGTTCAGCCTCCATCCCAGGCTTACGAGCTCTTCCAGGATGACTTAAAGGTGCAGGCAGAGTTTTAGCTTGATAAATCAGCTCAGCTGTGTGTCCATCCTCCACCCAGGAGTTTCCAGGCAAGCYGCTTCCCTCCTGCCTCTGCTAGCATCAAGCTTCCCTCCAACTGGGCGCCCTAAGGCTTGAAGACAACCTCAGGACAAGGACTGCTTGTTTAAATGCTTAAACAAAATGGCTCAATTTTTCTTTCAAGAGATGGCAGAAACCCCATAACCCTCTGCAGACCAGGAAACCAGAGCTCCTAGCATGCGTTCTGCACTTGGGTCCAATCCGAGGACGGTGAACAGCCGCTGTCCTTGTGATTATTGCAGGGGGGAATTAGTTGCATCTCATCACTTAGTTTTAAGCAATGGTAAATTGTTGTAGTGCTAAAGGATCAATATATCAGAAGCTTTGTTGAGGTGTGAAACAGAGCATCCATTTGCGGGACAATTAAGCCCACTTACACCTCTTGTCCCTGGGCCCACGCAACAGCGGTAAAAATACGTTTGCTGCCGGGTTGGCTTTGCTGCTTCCCACAGGCTCTTTAAAGCAGAAATATTACAATGAGTTGTTCTTCTTGACAGGCTTTTTTCTATTAGCTGTACAAGTGTCTCGAACAATTATTGACGCTATGGGTGACCGGCAGACAGAAAAAAAGGAGGCTTCTGTTTACGAGCAAGGCTATTAAATCAAAAGAAAGAAATAACATCACAATTATCGGGTGACCAACCCTAAGGTGGAAAAATAAGCAGCAGGAACCCTTCCGAAGTACTTCACCAGCAACCTACATGCTGTACAAGCCAGAAAAATAGCTACCCACTGAACAAGCACGAACAAAAAAAAGCCTTGAATTGCGATGAAGTGTTGGACAGTTTACAAGACGTGACAAAAAAAGTTTTTGAATTATTAAAACAAACTTACGGCAATGAATTATTTAACTCGCTCAGTCCAAGGCACTTTCCTGTGGCTACCAGGAAGGCTCTGCTCTCAACAGGAACTTGTTTTAATCAAACCAGTGACTAAAGCCATTTTACAGAAAGCAACTGGAACAAAGCAAAAACTCAACAAAMCCACAGATTATACTTTTCCCCTGAGTGATTAAAATCCTGCAGTTCTTGACTTAGGGAAACAAGCTGAACCATGCAAGACAGAATGTGCTCTTACCAGCACTTCTTTCATTTCCCCCCAATTGCTCATTTAAATAATAACAAATTTGCACCTATACACACCCTGTTATCTCCACAGACTGCATCAGATTATGCAGCATCACTTACAGACATACCAGACCACTGCAGCAAGGTAAGGAGGAGGACACAGATCACACAAAGCAAGAGAAGGAGCCTCTCACCAGCCCCTGCCCTTTCCAGAGGGAACCAAGGGTGTTTTCTAGTCATGCTCASCTGATTCCCATCTCCTGCAAATGGTCCCATCCACCCTGCTCTGCCCCAGGAGCACAAGGAATCACACCTGTGGTCTCACTACTCCTTCAGCCTCACTGCTAGCAGGGTTTTGCATGATTTTAGCTGGCACTAATAGCTAGAAACATGTGTGCAGGGTGGGACGTGTGTTGGCCGCAGTTGTCCCTCTTTCTGTGCACAACTGTGGGGTCGAGAGCCCTGGGTACCCAGGGAAAAGTGATTCTGACTCTGCAGGGAGGGCCCCACAACTGCCTCTCTCTGTAGGGCTCCCCATCCCCGCGGAAGCAGCCAGGGATCCAGGGCTGCTGCTGGTGACAAACGGCATGAGCCGAGGCAGAGAGTCAGTCATTCGGTAAAAGGAGATGCTTTATGCACAGTTTGCCTTAGGCTGCACATTATAAATAATATTTAGGTGTCTTTTAATGTTCCCTTGCAGAACACAGGTACAAAATATTGTTGTTGTGACTCACGTCTATTTGGATGGGCAGGGGAATTGTATCTGGGCACTGAAGAACTACATGTCCTTAGGTGGCCGTATGCAGCTTCCAAGAGCTGCTTTTTGAGGCCATCTCCCCAAGAACCGCTCTTCTCATGGAGACCCCAACCCTGGAGCTTCCTGAGATGGAAAAGTCCCCATTTCCTCCACAACCTCTTGTGGCTGCAACCTGCTGCCAGGCTCCCATCCGTTACTGTGCACAGATCCATGTCACTGCTATCCTGGTCACACCGACGTGCTAATTAAAGGCAGAGCCCGTGATTCTGCCCATCACGAGGTGCTCAGGGCTGGGGATAGCGAGCGGTGCTCCCTGTTACCGCCCGTGTCCCCGCACGTCCCCTTYGCAGCCCGGCTCAAGGCAGGAGCGCTTACGCACAAGGAGCATCTCTCCCCTGCTGCGTGGCAAATGACAAAATAAGAAAGATTTTAAAACTTACATATTTGAAAAAGCCCTAATGGGAAAATATCCCCAGTCTGCAGTGGCCTCTTCACGGTGCTGGTACAGGCTGACACAGCTGGAGGCATCCTTTCACCTTCCTCCACATACACAGCCGCTCTGTATATACCTATTAGATATATTTGCAGCAGCAGACGGATATTGAGATTAAGGGGTTTCAGCTTCCCAGGCAAACACCTCATACTGAGACCACGCTAAAAAGATCTAATCTAATCATTTCCGAAAGCACATTTTTTTTTAACCCTTGGCCACAATTCCTTTCACTCTTGGCCTGTKTTTTCTCTCGTGCCTCCAACCTCTRCAGCAGAGGCAATAAAAGGAGGAGGATTTTCTTATTTGATCCGATCATCTGCCTAAAGCTTCCTCTCTGCAAGTCCCATGGATGGCGGTGGCTGTGGCACTACAGGACAGCTGGTTTTCCATGCCCACCCTAGATGACTGTTCCACTGCCAGAGATTTAGCGGAAATTTACCCCAGAGTCCCCTGCCCGAGACCTGCTATGTCGGGAAATACACGGGCTAACTTTTGATACAAATCAAACTCATTAAGCRGAGAGGTCTTTCGCATTCGTACGGAAACAGAATGTGAAATGCAGAGAAACTCTTGGAACGGACCATCCTGCACAGCAGAGCAGAAAATCCATCTGGTAAATTGGATACATTTAATCACACCAGGTTTGTTTTCCTCTCTTTCTCTTCTTTTCTTTTTTTAAGCCCATATATTCTCACTCCTTCAGCTTCACGACACAAGCTCTGTCAACACATTTGATCGGAAATGTCAAAGTGACCATGTGCATCACATCACGAGGACAGTCCCTTCCCTTGCAGCAGCGCGATGGCTCTCCGGCATGCACGAGAGCGTGTCCCAGCACGCCAAACAGGCTGCCGGGCTCTTCAGCCGCCTCTACCAAGCATCATTTGCTAACTTTATGGCAGCCAAGTGTCTGCTGTCCTAAATACCACGGAGCAACCTCGTGTCCTGAAGCAACACATGGAACCGGGTAAGGGGAGTCATCCTGCAACTGCTGAGCGAGGCTGTCGCTGCTGCCACTTGCACTAAAGGAACTGCCCATGACTTGAGGACACGTCCGCTCCCAAAGCTCCACTGCTGAGCACCTTGGCTGCTCGCTGTGTGCATTTCCCTGCAGCAGAAGTTGTTCATGGCCAAATCTACAGCACCATAGTGCTGAAGACCTCCGCGCAGCAGTGCTGAGACCCATGTCCTTACACAGAATGGCCAACAAAACCTCCTGGAAAAGCTGGAGGTTAAATACAGGACAAGTGACTAAAGAAAAGCACCAGGCACAAGCACTGCTGACTGCTTTGCTTAGGTGTTGYCTTGGCCATGCAATGAGCTTGCTCGCAACTGCAGGTGAAGACTTTCTTTTCAATAATGAGCCCGGTGGAGCCTTGCTGCTCCTTATTGTCATTAAATTCCTCCAGCTTTTCTTGGGAAAGGAAAAACACCACTGTGCTCCAACTGCAGCTGGCACAGGAGAGCTATAAAAATATTAGTAAATAAGGGTTACTCTTTCCTGAGTAAAGGCACTAGGACAATCTGACCTCTCTGGATATCTGCAGCCTCTACAAATCTAAAGCCCTTTTAAAAGAAGTTTGGGGGCACATCTGCCTTACAGACCGTAAATATAGCAGAGAAATATGTAGAGCTGTCTACCCATAAGAGCAAATTAGCTTTGTTTTGGTCAGCTTTTATTTTTTCTACAMGGTGYCATAGCCATCTGTGTAGACTTTATCCTGTGTTTTCTTCCATCRCTAAGATGCAGACATYTCAGTGCTAGCTCATCTGCAGTTGTGCAATTAACCCACTTTAGCTGTCCCCAAGCCAAAGGACCACAGTGGCAGCAAAGGTAGAACACAGTCCCTTCCTCAAAGGGCTTTCAAAGCATAATTAGGACAATTTCAATGATCAAGCCATTAAACTGAGTCAGTTTTGCTCTTTGTGAAATAACCAAAGACATCAGAATGTAAAATCTTAAATGAATGCAAATTTAAGCTTTCCCATTGATTCCCCAACACTTATTTCTTTAATTGCTTAATCTAGAGGAGTGAAAAAAAATGTTCGTACAGCAACTGCATACAAATAATAATCCCCAATGCATTTCAATAGGTGATAGCATCTTTGTGTCCTCAGCGAGATCATCATCGCTCCGTGGTCCACACGCTGCCTGCAGACAGAGCTGGCCCTTCCCCAGGGACATCGCTCGGTGCTGACCAGAGACATGGGACACGGGAGGGGAAATGGGAAGGAGAGGAAGATGCCTCGAGGTCACGCCGCAGGGAGCACTTGTGTCCCCAGAGCTGCGGGCAGACGCCCTCGCCACCGACCCTCGGTGCCTCTCAGGAATTATTCATCGCAATGCTATACATTATGCATTATTGTCTAGCCAGCTCTCCCGATTAAAGCCCCGGGTTAATAATAAAACCGTGTTTATGTTGCGRACAGATCCCCAAAGATAAAAAAAGAGCCAGATTTTCAATTGAGGGAACATCGCCGTCGAGCCGCGGGAGCAGCGATGCTGTCGGCTGGATCGGCGCCAGGCGCACAGGGCCATAACGCTTAACRAACCCCTGACAGCCGCTGTTTTGCTCGCCTTTTCCTATTTAATGTCATCATTTATAAGTCCCGCCGGAGAAGCAATGGGTTTGCTTGTGAGACACTGTCCTGTACATTTTCAGAAGGAAACCAGGTTTGCATGGGTAAGCTGTGAGCAGGGAGCCATGCGAGCGGCCGGGTTTAATTGGGTTATGTCAGAGCTGGCTGCACAGAAGAGGAGGAGGATTTAGCAAAAAGGCTTGCTTTTCCCTTTCTGTTTCTCTCTTTCTTTTTAATGAGTGCKCTTGGTACCTTCTCCTTCTCCATCCTGCTTTGCAAAGATGCTTTGGAGGGGCTCAGGGATCACCGTCTCCAGCTGGGAAACTGAGGCACACAAAACAGCGTGGGGAAAGGAGGTGTCTGCGCATGCTCATCTTGTCCCTACAGATTGCATGGCCAGGCACAGCATATGTGAGGGCTTACGRCTCACAAACACAGCCAGCTGGACAAGCCTGCAGAATTAAAGCCTCTAATTATGTGACTGCTTGTGGCAGCAGCACAAAGCCCATAGAATTCCCCATCCCTGCTCTCCAGACGGGGCAGGAGGGACCATGTGGCATCCAGCACCTCCATGGTGCTGGACAGTCTCAATGGCATCTGTTTAGATGGGGGGATCTGACTTTTACCCTCTGCATCACCCTCTAGGATCTGCAGCAAGACTAAAATTACTCCTCATTGGCCAAAAAAYAGCCATAAAAGTCTGGTTTTAAGCAGACAAGACAGAAAGGAGAGGCTTTTGCAACCTTGACCAGTCTTGTCATCTAGGCACTTAATTTTGATCCATCTCTCTTCTTGCTTTAAAAAACACCTGACTTGGCTTTGGACAACTCATCCATCAAACTGAGTTTTCACAACAATAAAAGTTCACCAAGCCTACCTTGTAGGCAAAGGAAGAGCTCTTGCAGGCAGGTTTCCGTGCAAATTAGGACAGCATCATTATGAATATATGCTGTGAATTAATGCCTTTTCACTAAGCTTGCAAGGCTTGAACCTCTTCCAGCCTGTAGGCTCATAGTTTCACTAAGCAGCAAGTATTGACTTTTAAAAAGGCCAGGATAATTTTATGACCATCAGGAATATTTCAAGCTAGGCAAACCCAGATAATGGCATGAGGAAAAAAGAAAGAAATCAAATCAGTTCACATATATCAGGCCTTAATTACTGACTGACAACAGCCAGGAAGGATTTCTTTTCTTTCAGAAGCAGCATTTCATAATCTGTTAGCTATGCAGCTGGCAGAGATAAGAGATCACAATCGCCCTACCCTGGAGGCAGCAGAGCCAAGGAGGGACCTGAGCTCTTCGCTGAAGTGTCTCCAGACCCTGCCTGGCCCCTCGTCCCCTGAAGT